ACCAGACTCTCCATAAGATTAAATCTAGATCTTTGGATCTTTTTTACTGTTGGATTTTTTTTTTTGTTTGAAATAGCAAAGGGCTAAAATAATGTACCAAAAAAAATCTGAAAATCATATCAAATTCACCAATATCTCACCTTCTCCATCTCATTTCTAAGATCTCTTGCTATATTTTTGAGATTTTGTGCTCGATTGAAGATAAAACCGGTCCAGTTCCAGATAAGTTCAGTTCATATTCTATAAATTCTCTCTCATTTATGTTTCGGTTTAAATAAATTCATTTCATAATACTCCACCATTTCTAATTTCTATCATTTTCACCTCTCATTTTATTTTATAAATTTTATTTTTCAAGTTGCAAAATGCCGAGTGGTTGTGATGGTGCCAGTGGCCGTGGATGGGCACTAAAGCATAAAAATATAGGCGCATCTGCTAGTGGTTTACCTCCAATGCCGACGAGACGCCGATGGTACACCGGGCAATTCCGTGTCTACCCGATAACATTGAGCCCGAGGAGGTCCAATGCGTCTTTGAATCTATTGACCATATCCACGAGAACTTACATTTCGAGGAGAATGAGGAGGACCAGGAGCTGCCGTATGAAGAAGATTTCGATCCAACTCAAGGTAAAGGTCAACCTCAACAGACGGCCGCCTGTGAGGTCGACAGCTGACATCCGACATATTCATAACGTATTTCACAAAGGTCTCAATGAGAAAAAATGTGACACACATGTATGTATTTGCAACCACTGTTAGCTCAAAACCAAGAAGAAATACGTTTTGAAAACTGGCGATGGGTACGGAACCATGCAACAACACGTATGGACACCTCATCCGGTCGAAATGGGAATTCCTACAACCTAAATGCAAATCTTGAGAGGTAGCATGTGCGACTAGAACATGATCTTCTTCTACTTTATTTCAATACTCTCATGAAAACCATAGACATAATCTAGTTGTTTGTTTATGCTTCATCTCTTCCTTTCGATTTTGTTGATTCTTTATTTATATGAAAATTTTGCTCAAATGACTTTAAACCCGACTGCGTCTTGGGTTCTACGTACTACTCTCACTCGCGATATTTGAAATATTGTGGATGAGAAAAAATTAATTTTGGCTCAAATTTTTGAAAATTAAAACTAAAGAATTTCTATTTGTTGTGACATTTGGTCCCATTCATTGGCAAGATAATCATTATATGGGAATTACTTGTCATTGATAGATGATAGTTTTACATTACAACAATATTTAGTTTCTTGTACGGGATTTAATAGTTCTCACACTGCTGTTAATATCACTCGTTTAATTTCACATGTATTTATTACTTAAGGAACTGGTAGAAAAATAAATTTTATTTCTGTTAATAATGCCAGTGCTAATAATTCTTCTTTAAATGATCTTAGAGAAATTTATCGTCCCCTTTGTGGTGGACAATTTTTCATATTCGGTGTATGTGTCATGTCCATAATCTTTGTGTTCAAGCGTTTTATCATGCATTGAAAGAGTCGCTCACGTTAATTAGGGAGGCCGTTATGTACTTACATCGTTGTCCTGATGAAAAAAAAAATGGGGAAAGACATTGTAAAAATGATGGTGTTACACCTAAAAAGTTTCAACTAGATGTTTCTACCCTGTGGAACTCAACTTTTAAAATGTCAACAAAAAACGTGTGAATATGATGTTCAACTAGCTTACCTCCGTGCTTTAGGCATATAGGACCACCTCAAGGTCGACAACAGGCAAAACCCCGTTCAGTTTGGCGTACGATATAGAAGCTTTATTACCCATGGAGATTGAGCTAGAGTAAAAGAGGTCAATCACCTATGACAAGGATCAGAATTAAGAGTTGGTGCGAGTGACGTTGGACATAATCGAGTAGTTGAGGGAGCAAGTTGCGACTAGAGTGGCAGCTTACAAACAGAGGATGAGGATTGCCCATGACAAGAAGGTGAAGGTGCAAAGATTTCAAGTAGGAGACCTAGTGTGAAAGTGGGTCGACATCGTCAAACACGTGGGCAAACTCGAGCCCAACTGGGATGGTCCGTATGCGGTCGAGCGGGTGCATGCAGAAGGGGGGCATACTCCCTGAAAAGCATCGAAGGGAGGTCATTACCCAAGTCATGGAACGTTCAAAATTTGAAGAAGTATTATGCATAATTTTTTTTCTGTTTACCCATTTTAATTTTCATGTACTTGGTATTATGGTCGGTATCATTAATGAGAATGTTGGATTATTACTCTATCACTTTATGTTTGACGTGTTCGTGTTAACCTCAGTGGCAGGTCATTAAGTGGTGTTCCAAAATCCACCACGATTAAGGTTGTTTGTTCGAACGGTCCCGTGAGCGGGCCAGGAAAACATTAATGGGTGGCCCTGAGTTCCAAATCCACCATGATTAAGGCTTTCGAGTTGGGTAGTCGTTTGTTCGTACGATCCCATGAGTGGGCCGGACAAACGTTAATGGGTGGCTATGAGGCCTAAATCCACCATGATTAAGTTTTTCAAGTTGGGTGGTCGTTTGTTCGAACGGTCTCATGAGCAGTTCGTGCAAACGATAGTGGATGGCCCTAACCTAAATTTACCATGATTAATGCTTTCGAGTTATGGATGGCCCTAACCTAAATTTACCATGATTAATGCTTTCGAGTTGGGTGGCTGTTTGTTTGAACGGTTCCATGAGCAAGTCGAGCAAACGTTAATGGGTGGCCCTGAGGCCTAAATCCACTATGATTAAGGATTTCGAGCTGGGTGGTCGTTTGTTTGAATGGTCCCATTAGCGCCAGGGCGAACATAAATGGGTGGCGCTGAGGCCTAAATCCACCATGATCAAGGCCTTCGAGCTTGGTGGTTGAGCCTAGATTGAGGTCGTTGAAAACTTGAAGGCCAAAATCACACGGAGATCACAACCTTAGCGCCGAGTGGTTGAAGATCAAGGCAGTCAAGTTCAAGCTGACGAAGTGATGGGACAAAGACCTCGATGGTAGAAGTTTAGTTGGTGAAATTCAATTGTTATCTTGAAAATTTCGGTGGCAGGTCAAAAATGTGTATAAGATAGAGTATTATGAAACTATCATTAAGACCTCAGTGGCAGGCCAAAGGTTTAATTTGGAGAAACTCTTTGGAATCTCGTTTAAGACCATAACGGCATGTCGAAAAAGGTTTACTGTGAAAAATTTTGCAAGTTACTTCTATATTGCAAAACCACGCAAAGTATGCACAATAATTTCAAGGAAACAAAGGAATTAACATTCATATCAAAGGTGAGTACATTTCGGTCAATTATTACAATCACAAATTCGAAAATAAAATTACCTTAACAAAATAATGGAGGAGGTGCTTTGTTGGCGATAAGCCTCAAACAACTTCTGCATTATGTTGGTCTACAATATGGTCTTGCAGGTACCTTGCGCAGCAGTCTGTGCAGCCACCTTAAGGTTATCATTGTGATGAGTTGACTGTTCGACTAGTTTCTGCCCAAGCTCTTTGTTTTGTGAAATGAGAAGCTCATTCTGGGTGTTCAAGGCAGCCATCTCGTTAGATGAGGTGTGTGGCCGCTTCTTGCCAGGGTCAGCAGCCTTCTTGTTCTTGTCATCATCAACCTGGGCATCGACGACTTGCTTGTCTTTATTTTTGTCGACCTAGGGGTCAACAACCTTCTTGGTCTTCCTGACTTGAAGGGTTTTGGATATTTGGGTGGTCTCGTGGGACCCTCTCTCGGTGTTAACCTTCTTGATCTTTTCGCTGCGGCTGGTGTGGCAAAATTTACTGCATTGGCGGGTAGGCTTGATGTTGTTGGGCATCTTGTCTTAGGCAGGAGGATTGGCCTTAGAACGAGCTCCCAGAGTCGAGTAAAGGCATGTCGAGAAAGTTCATCTTCCCCGAGTCCTGTGGAAGAGAGACCTACCCTGGAGGTCGAAGGCTGAAGAGGAACACAGGGAGGAATTAGTATGTTACTCATTCATTATCTAAAAATTATAAAAATATTAGTAAAAATTGTTCAAGGATCAAGTATATAAAATATTAAAATGAGAAACTAATGGGCTATTTGTTGAACTGCCACGTAATTACTAGATTATGAAGAATCAAAATATTCATAATATGTGTTGTTATAAATTATGATACACCAATGAGTCATATATCGAACTGTAATAGCAAATTATAAGTTTAGAAAGAAAAATTAAAATATTTATAATATATATTGTTATAAACTATAATGACAAACCAACTGATGGATCATCTGTCAAACATGTAAATTATTCACTTAGAAAGAAAAAAAATATTTATAATGTATAAAGTTATAAATTATAATGATAAGCCAACAAATCATCTCTCGAACTACAATGTAAATTGTGAGCTTAGAAAAAAAGTCATAATATACGTAATGTATATCTCAACCGGTGTCAAACTATTGATAAATTATTAAACTAGAAAAAAAAAATCAAAATATTTATAACATACTTTATTAAATTAGAGAATATTAAAGATAATTTTTACGTAATTAAAAACTGATCAATTTTATAACTCTTGTCGGCATATAATATTTGCCCCAATTTTTCAACTTTAACATCATCCATTTAGGAATAAAAATAATATACTATAATAAAGTATAAGTAAGAGAAGTGAGAGAAAAATATTTTTGCGAGTATATTATTTCTAATGATGTTTGAATATATTAAATCATGTTCCTTAATTTACTCTAAAATGAAAAATATTTTATAACTGTATATAAAATCATATATCAAATTGTTACATATCATAAATATATATAAAAAATAAAAATTAATAGTAGCATTCGAAACTATCTTTAAACGTATCAATATTTCTGCAATACTATCACTATTGTCCCGTTCGGGCTACATACTAGTTGTTCAATACTAGTTGCTCAAATCTCAGCAACAATGCTATAGCCAATAATCCCTACTTTCCCAATACTCAATCCAAAATTTTCTGCACACACATTATTGTACAGGGGCATACAAAATTGCATCAGGGAATCATTCACTGATATCATCAGCATACTCAGAATCAGAGTCCATAAAGGCTTCATCAGTGTCCTCAGATTCAGAGTCCATAAACAGACGATTAGCATCATTCAAAACAATTCTCATCTCTTGACTGGCCAATTTAGCAAGATCCTGCCTATTGGCATTCATATAAGCATCCACAACAGCCTTGTACAATGACTCACTAGGCTCAACCACACCATATCTCAAACGGCTCTGCACGCGCTCGATTCCTTCCACCATCCCACCTTTCCCATAACAACCCACGAGACTGATTAGCGTAAGAATATCAGGCTTCACCCCTTCATTCTGCATCCTCATGAACACATTCAACGCACGATCGATTTTCCCATAAGCCGTATACGCACGAATAGCGGCACTACAAACAAATGAGTTGAGCCCTTCTTCTCGTTTGGCAAAAACCCCACATAATTTTAGCGCATATTCATGCAAACCGACTGCAGAGAAAACGGAAATTATAATGGCTTGCTTGGCAAAGGGTTTCCCTTCTTTGTAGGATAACTCGAGCTGTTGTACAGCTTCGCCAGGGAAACCTCCTTTCTTCAGTACTGCAAATAAAACCTTAAAAGTTCCCTCATCTGGCGAAAGCTTCTTATCCATTAACATCTCATGCAGAAACTCGCCACACTCGAGCAACTGCCCGTTTGTAGCAAAACACGCCATCAGTTTATTGTACGTCACGCAATTCGTGACCAAGCCAGAGTTTTTCATCTTCCTACCAACTTCGGCGGACTCGTCGAGCATTCCCAGGTTCTTGTAAACATAAATCATGGTCGTGTACGTAACTCCATCTGCTCGGTTATTTTCTATTAAATGGTCGTACAACGCTTCTGCCTCGGATAGCATCCCGAATTCACCATACAGATAAAGCATGATATTGGAGGCCACAATGTCGAGCCCATCACCGAATATCATCTTCATCCTCTCGTAGATCCTCTTAGCTCCCTCCACGGACCCAATCTTTCCATATGCCTTGATCATCGACGTTAGAATTATCTGGTTGGGCGAGATTCCGGAATCTTCCATGGCTCGGAAAAAACGAGCCGCCTCTTCGAAATTTCCCGCCTCAGCGAAACCGTCGATCAAGGTCCCGTACACGACTTCGTTCGGCTTCACGTCTGCTTCCGGCATCTTCTCAAACACCTCGACTGCTTCCGCGAGAATCTTGTTCCTTGCAAAGCAAGCAATGACGGCTGCAAAGGTCGAACAACTGGGTCGGAACCTAGCTTCTTCCTGCATTTCGACTAGAAAAGCTCGTGTGCTGTCCACCAAATCACATCCGGCAAGCATCTGAATAAGGGAGTTGTACGTGCATTCGTCAGGCCACGTACCTTGATTTCTCATGCCCCTGAAGAGCGTGACTGCTTTTTCGTACAATTTCGCCTTACCATAAGCTTTTATCATAACATTATACTCCAAGACATCCTTGTGTTCACATTTGCTACAGAACAAAGCCTCAGCCTCAGCCCAAAGTCCCTTCTCCGCATACACGTCAATTATAGCCGCATAAACCTTGGGTGAAAACTGAACTCCATACGACTTACATTTCTCGACCAACGCCTTTGCCTTTTCGCACAATCCAGCACCAATGTACATGTTAATCAGTACTGGGAGAGAGCTTTCATCAATACGCTTACCCATTTTCTCCATTTCTTGAATTACACAGTCCACATCCTGAACCATATTTTTCTCGCACAGTATCTTAAGGACAGCTCGGTAAGTTACATCATCAGGAAAAAGACCCATCTCCCTAATCCTTCTATAGCTTCTAAGAACAGCATCTATGTCACCTGCACTCGCATGCAGCGAAAGGAAAATGTTGTAAGTCTTGGTATCGGGAGAAATCCCTCTTTCCTCCATTTTAGTAAGCAAAGCCTTGGCCTCAGACAAATGTCCCTGACTACCACAGATATAAATCATCGTGTTGAACGTAAAGGTGTCGGGAGCCACACCAGAATTCAACATATCAGAAAACACATTCGCAGCATCTTTTAAGAGGCCCGCCTTTCCATACAAGTCTATAAGCGTATTGTAAGTAGCGGTTAGACGTGGTTTTCTCACATAACTATCAATGTCGTTAGTTAAATGATGAGACCTCCCACCCGTACGGAAAAGCTCGGACATCAAAAACTGTTTCAAACTAATGGATTGCTGGTCACCCATGCTATCCAGATCGAGATCTTCCATGTTGATTTTACCAGCACACCAATCTTTATAGAACCTATGTGCCCTATCATATTCCTTGGCATCCTTCAAAACTTTGATAACAGTAGACAAGGTGACCTCATCTGGAAAAATCCCTCTTGATTTCATGTGTTTAATCCACAGAAGAGCCTCCTTCACCAGCCCAGCTTTCCCGTATACATCTATAAGCATGCTGTATGTGTTATTCGTGGGCAGAACACCCTTTTCTGCCATTTCAATCCAACAGAGCCTCAATTCATCCCATTTCTTGGCTCTGCCCAGTTCACGAAGCACAATATTATAGTGTATGACATTTGGGACATAATCTTCGTGAGACTTAAACCACTCAAAAACCCTCATAACCTTATCCCACTTGCCCTGTTCCTTCAAAATCACTGTCTGCTCTTTGGGGCCGAGTTTCCCATGGTAAGAGTCGAGAATCTTTTCGAAATTCATGCCGACTTCTAAAGCCCGTAAAATCGAAGGCAAATTGCCTCCGGAATTGTTCTTTTTTTTCCCCTTATTATTATTCACGTTCTTCTTATCTGGTGAAGCTACAATCTGGGAATGACACTGAAGCTTAAAAGGTTTGTTCTGGGCATGGGGAATTTGTGTGTATTTGGGAAGATTATTGGGAGCACGGGGTTTGTTAAACCCCACAAAAAGAGAAGACCTGAAAGGGGGAGAAAGGGATTGAAGCTTACATGAAGAGCGAAAAGGTTGAACTGAGCGAGTGTGGTCTGTGGAAGAACCGCCGCAGGTCCGCAGCACCATTTTCAGTTGTATTGTACTTGCAAACAATTCATGGATGACTGACTGTTCATTTGGCTCAATTGAGGCTTTAGCAAGAGCGCCGAAAAAGATGAACGCGGTCTCGTCTCTTTTNAGAACCGATCTCAATGGGATAATACTCAAAAACACTACAAAACACAAAAAACGACATAAAAGCCCCAATAGGCTAATACCTGAGTGTCGGGCCCCAATAGGATAATAAAGTTAACACTCGGGCTCACAGGGGCCAACGGCCCAAACCAAAAACACAGGACATGGACACGCAGGCAAACACCCAAACCAAAAACACAAAAATTGACACAAAACAAAAGAACTACTATCTAAAAAACACAGCTTCCCTAAAAAAAAAACATCTTAACAAGACAGCAGACAAAGCCGCTTTCGAGGAGAGCTCCGAAACTCAGATACCACGCCCGCCACTGCAGAAGGCCTAGCAAGACGATGATCCAAGCATCATAACAATCCGAAAGAATCGAACCGCATCCCGACCGCAAGAAACCACAATCACCCCCCAACCGTCTAACACCACTAGACAATCCGATACCGTCTCGAAACTGTCTAACATCACTAGAGGAAGGGGGAGAATGGCGTCAACGCTCTGCAGTATCTACCCTGCCCGAAGGGACGAACCCATCCCGAAACGACCACCAATCCACCCAACTCGAAAGGACAAACCCCGACCCAACACCCCTGCACATCCGAGGTGTCGAAGACCAGACTCCGGTAGAGCCCGAAAATCCACTGTCGGTTTGACCTCCAAGCCCGGCGAGAAGAGACGCCGCGACCAAAGCCCAAACCCGAGCTTTCATCCCAGTCACCGAAGTCCAAACCCCGCCCACAGAAGAGTCAGGGACAATCCTTATCGCATGTTGGTTTATTTCTTAAAAAGTCGGTGTTCAGTCATGGGCAATTATATGTTGCCATCTTCCCTGTCACCAATCGAAGTGGGTTGAAGATATTAGTCTGTAACGACGAGACTTGCCACCAAATCAGACCCAAAACGTTGTGTACAAAGAAGTGTTTACTAATTTATAAAGTTTTAAATTTGTCTTTTTCCATTTTATATTTGTTACATATCTACAAACTGCATTAAATTTAATGTTACTGTTAAAAAAATTCAGAAAAATATACCACCTCGTGCATCGCATACTAATAGAAGATAAATAGTGGACGTGCAGTGTTAAACACATATGTTAGCCTCTTAGTAAAACTGAGACAAATAACTTAAAATATGATCTTTATGGTAAAAAAACTTTATATTAAAAAAAGAATAAAATTCATACCACTTCATCACTACGTACTAAATCTATATATATATAAAGAGGTTGTTCAAAAAATACATTAATAGAAAGTTTGACCAAATAAATATAATGTTTGACTTACTATTAATGGAAAGTTCGAAAAAACACATGTAAATCTTAAGAAACAAAATCTGAATCCTATTTTTTCGGTAACAAATTTGGAGATTCTAATGGAAAAATTTGAATCCCATTTTTTTAGTATCATAATTTTTTTTTTTTACCAAAATTTAAACCATATCTTTTTTGGTAACAAATTTAGATATTCTTATGCAAAAAATGTGTCAATTATTTATGAAAACAATTTTAAATACAAATCAATTTAAAAAACATGCAAATTGGATACAAATTTACGAAACAAATAGTTGTATAATTTCTAACCAATTCTTCCAATCTTAATGAATAATTTTTTCTTCAAAAAAAGTGTGTAAATTGGTTAAAATCACGTGCAATTTTATTTTAAAATAAAACTGATATTTAGACGGGATGTACATTCAAAATTGTGCCCACATTTTTTGGTAACAAAAGCGGTTCATCTTATAAAATAATTAATTGCACATCATATTTAGAAAGTTTTAGATATTTTAAATCATAAAATAGGGTAGCATTAAATGCCCCTAAAATTATGGGTTTTGTTGAATTCATTTTTTATAATTTCGACAGATATTAAAGTGAATATGAAATTCAAAATCTCTTCTCATTTTATTTTTAATAAATTATGCATCCAAATATACGTGTGGTTTTGAAGTGAAAATTTGAAATTCAAAATCTCTTCTCATTTTAGTTACAAGAAAATCGGGCTGCATTCAATACTTGGACCAATTTTAAAAACCATATATATATAATAAGAATTACCATTTAACAAAAATAGTAGCAAAAAAGTAGAAAAGAATTTAATGCAACCTATAAATAATAAGTTTTATTATTTTTTTATTTTTATCTTTAAAAAATCATACAACATTAAATGTTACATTAAATTTTAGGCTTTAATTTGTTTATTATTTAAAAATTTAAGCTAAGATCTATTAAGTGTGCATTTTTTATTTTTATTATTTTTTTTAAGAAACAACGAAGAACATTAAAATCTCAGTCTGTATATTTATAAAATCTCAATTTAAAAGGTAATACAAATTTTAGAATATCGGTCTTTATATTTATTCCTTTCAAAAAAAATATTGAATGCTATTCTTTAAATATCATTTTCCACTAATCATCACAATTTTTTCATTTGGAACGTGTGATAATATATTGTTTTTTCTCAATACTTTGTAGTGTTTAAAATATCACTTTGTAATGTTTATCATACTTTGTCTATCAATCTATTGTTTTTTCTCTACTCGGTTTCAAAAGGTAAAATGATTTTCAAATTCTCAGTCTCAATAATTGTGCATTGAAAATAAAAAAAATTAATGATAATATATTATTTGTTAATAATTCACAATTTTGAAAACTCCATTATAAATTGTATGTTGATCTCCAAAATCATTTTATAAATACAATCGATTTTGTTAAATCTCCACAAAAATATGGTAAAACAAAATGAGACGATCAGCTTTGTATGAAAATAAAATAAAATCAATAAATCAATATGAAGTTCATAAAAAATTAACATAATGAATAATTTGTATAGTACACGAATCTAAAAAATTATACTCACGTGGATTCTAAAATTCAAACTTATAGTTATCATCATCTTCTGGAAATTGAATAATATATTATAGACAAGATTTTTTTAAATAATTTTAGACATGTTTTATTTATAAAATAGTTTAGAGAAATTTTAGGTGAATCACATTGTTCAATAATAATATATAAAATTTTAGATACTTTACATGCGTTATATTATATAATATTTTAGGTATTTTTAATATTTTAAACATATATTTTTTATGTTATTTTATACAAGATAATTAAATATTGTTTACAATTGATATACGATAAATTATGTCACATATTAACTCTACATCTTAATTACAATTATGAGTTAATATTTTTTACCCGTGCATCGCACGGGCTACACACTAGTTATTCCTTAAATGAAGGAATTTATAGATAATTGTTATCTCTACTCAATCACATGATTATTTTCAATATAAAAAGAGACAGATTACAAATTAGTGAATCATATATTACCTAATTGAATATCTTAACATTAAGGAATAAATCCATAGTATTATGTAAATCGGTATCTCATATTATTATATCATTAAGAATATATTATAGTTATATTATCAAATCTTTTAAAGATATTAAATCTATATTGTAAAAAAAAATAATTCATATAATTTTATAACAATTCTACTACACTATTTAACAATATTTATTTTTATTATATAATAAAATAATAATTAAATATTATATACTGAACAACAATAAGTAAAACTGTTACTTTGTCTTATATCAAGGGATAAATTTATATACTAAAATTAAAATTTTATTAGTATAAATATTTTAGTGAGATAATATATTAATTACAAGCTATTCTTAACATGCTCATATTTAATGTTCTGACTAAAAAAAACAACATTGGTTAAAAGATGTGGAAAAAAACGTATAATAACCTTATTGTTTTTTAGACTTAACGTTGATTAAAAGAGGTAGAAAATAGATAATAACCCTATTATTTTTTAGATTTAAACAGACAAGGGTGTGAAAATAACTCATTTAATATCTTTGTTCCTTGAATAATCTATTAATATATAAAGAGGGAATGATAGTTTTTTGAAAAAATCATGTGGAAAATCAGGAAAAAAAAGATTTCAGTTCCCGCCTAAATTTTTAATGTAATCAGTGCATTTTTTTGGCGAAAATTGAGCAAACTCCCGCCCATGGAATTCTGAAATTTTGGATGTCAATTTTAATAGGAGTGATTTCAGCACTTTTATATGGTGTGCAGTTATTATGGGATGATGATAAGATTTGGTCAGATTTTTATGGCACTTATTTGTAGATATCTAATCTAAAAAAAGAACGGTAAGCAGAATAATTTTTTTTTGGCTACGCTCTTATCTTTGTAGATATCCACGTTCCTACATAATTATTCATTAGCATTTTTTATACCATCACCGTTCATATCAAGATTTTTTTGGAAAATCTACCAATTTAACCCGGTGGGGCTCCGGCGAAAACGAGCTCCTCGGCCATGGAGTTTCAAGCCGTCCAATTTCCTGATTTTCTCTCGAGAATCAGCCGCATCGCACTAATACCCACGCTATCGTTGCATTCGTTTTAAGATCCAGTCTTGCTCCACCACCACAGCCACCACATCGCCACCGCTCCCCTAGGGTTTGATGGCTGGACAAAGATCGGCCAGCAGCAGGCGGCCGTCTCCAGAGGCTCCCAGGTTGGAATCTCCACGGCGAGAGCACTGGCGGCGCCACGGGACCTAGCTTGGAATCGACAATTGCAGCTCACGCGTATTGAGGAGCTCGATTGAAAAAAGCTCGCCACCAGGGATGCTTCAATCGTGAGGGAGATCGGGAATTTGCTCCATCTAGGGTTGACGAGTTTCGCAACCCTAGCTGCTACAATCCGCCTCCATCCTTCAGTTCAGTTAAAATTGATTACTTATTTTGATATTTTTCATTTTTTTTTTT